GAGTCAAATGCTTTGTGTATATCTAGGCTTAGAATCATGCCAGGAGATTTGTGTTGTTGTAGCAGGTAGATTAGGTAACCTTATGATTATTGTCTGAAGCCTGTCGGAGGGGGACAAAGCCCCCATTGATCTTTGATTGGGACTGTAATTTCAACTACTTTGAGCAATCCTCCAGCAATGCCAAATTGTGTTCCATGTTACAGACAGCAAAAATACATACCTTACCCACCAATCCTTCAGTTGTAGCACTTACAAAAACATTAAATAGAAAAGGTCCCCAGTACAGACCATTGTGGTTCACCACTAGTGACTGTTCTCTGTTTATCGATGTTCCTATACATTTTCTATATTCCAACAATTATGTTACAATAATTGTGTAAACTTGTGTAGTGGGTTTCTAAGTGCTGCAAAGGTTAGTATATGAATCTGTACAGTAACACCTCATTTATGTTTTGTTTGTTTATTTGTGTTTTTTTTTAGACTTTTCTAAGAATAGGCTGACAGAAGTGCCAGTTGAAGTCTGCCATTTTGTGTCTCTAGAAGCACTCAACTTATACCACAATTGTATCAAAATTATTCCTGAGACATTAGCAAATCTACGGATGTTAACTTACCTAAATATAAGGTACATTTATTTTATTAATAATACAGTTTTCCAAACTGCAGCATACAAACCTTGTTGCTATCAAACCCATGCTCTGCATTAATTGAGATAACGTAATATTTAAGTGATTCAAACTCACATTTTGCCTGCTTATTGTTCCATATTATTGTATTACTTGCATATCTGTTCATGGGATATGGAAGCTGCCATTAGTGAGAATGTCAATGTCCTGGCTGTTATGTTGACCCTTTTGCTTTCATAGTTTGAATTACTGTCCCAAAACAAGTATGCAATTAAAGTAGAATTAAAGGCAATTTTTTGTATTTTGGATAGAGTAAGGGAGGGTTTATAACTCTTGAAAGTGTTTGTCACATTGGGGAGATCTTCTCTTACTTTTTGTCCTATTGCAAAACAGTGAGTGAGATGAAATCCCTCCACAGTGAGGAAATCCTAATTGTCACCAGAAAAGGAACAGAGGGGAAAGTCTCCAATGGAGGAACTAGCTCTGCTGACCCTGGTGACAACCCAAAAATTTGGGATTTTGGTTAAATCTCCTTATCAGGGAAATATACAACAATAAAAATTAAACAGTTGTTCTAATCCCTCTCCACATTAAAACGAATACAACGTTATGTCTGTAGTTTTACTTGAAATTGGTTCTAAAGTAAAAAAAAAAATGTTTTAACTTAATGCATTTCATGCATTAAGGTAAAAATTAAAACTTCCCACTACCTGCTCCCCCTGCCATCCCTAACACTTCCTTTTCTCACAGGAGATGCCCAGAGCAGTGGAGCCTTCTGTGAGGAAGGAATGAGGAGGGGGGGGGGGGGTTGTTGCCGAGCCACAGTGCACTGAATATGTCTGTGGATGCACACAGCCCGGCTCAGCAGCATAGCTGTACGGGTGCACCTTCAGCACACAGCTGTGTGCTGAGGGGGCACCTGCAGGAAAGAAGGACCACAAATTGCTGATGGAGGACTCCATAAGAAGAGTTATTAGACTTTAAAAGATAAGTTCACTTAAAAAAAATAATAAATGTGCATTTTTTTTTTGAGCCTGGAAAGATCGCTGGTGACATGCAGCACTCCTGCAGATTGTCAGTGTAAGCTTACTGCTCGTACCTCATATGGGCAGGTAGTTTTACACTGACAGGAAGAATCAATGAACTACCACAGCACTTAATGGTAGTTCACTAAGAACTACAAGCTGACATCTGCAAAGGCTGTCATTACTTGTAGTTTCCCATTCACAGATCTCTGTGAATGAATGATGTGGCCAGGTGGGGGGCGCCCCGCAAGCCACGTTCATTCTAAATTGTGACAGCTAGCTGTCACAATGCGAGGTGCCGGGTGCCAGTGCTACTGTAAAATGTTACATGGTACACCCTTAATATGGGTATAAAATGTTATGGAAGGTGAACTTATTTAAAATTTTTGACTTTTCTGATTTCAATACTTGTGCTGGCCAGTAACTCAGGAAGTACTGAAGCCACTGGGTCAGTAGAACAGCACATTTGTACTATCTTTTTAAAAAATGGTTCAGCAATGGCAGTCAAAAGATTTCTCTCATGACTGGTTTAATAAGCTAAGTTAGCCTCATAGAGAATGCCCTTTCAGTTGAGACTGGAATCATAATTTGCATTGAGAGAGGGGACAGTAAAATAAAGTTATTGTGCACTACTCAACAGAGCCTTCATATGAGTTGAGCAAAAAGGGCTGTTATCATGTATATATACTGTAGATTTACAAACTAAAACATTTTCTAATCTGAAAGGGTATGTCAAGGTGAAATTAAGAATAAAAAAAAAAAAAGATTACATTTCTGCATGCATGTTTCCCGTCTTGTATCACCTCTTCTCGCTGTCTGTATGCAGCCTGACAGCGGGTTGGCCTTAACAGTGAGATGCTGCATATATGCTTACCAGAATGCAAACAATGCTGTGCCAAGAGCGCGTACCCTGGCACTGTTAATGGGGGGTAATAGGAAGCTCCTGGTCTCTACTTGCGATTGGAAGCTTTCCTATCATATGACTGCTGGGACAGCCAATCACGGTGGTCACATGACCAAAATGCCCACCTCTGCCTCCCGGCCTCTGAAACCTCTTAAAAGGCCAGGAGGCACCAGCAGGAAGGGGTTAAAAACACTGCAAGTACAGAAAAATACCTGTCGATCTTCCAGAATGTCTCAACTTCTCCCAGTATCAGATCTCTACAGCTTAAAGGCTAATCATTCTGTAATCCAAGACAAGAACTAGAAGGGCACTTTGAGATAACACGGGAGGTGTGCAGTTCAATACAGGAGGGCTTTGTACAACAAGCTAATTGTCTCCTCTGAATAAACAGGCAGCACATGCAGTACTTAGCATAAATGAGTACACCCCAACAGATTTGTCAGAAAACCTTAAGTCCCCGGTCACACTGGGTGCGAATTCGCATGCGATTTGCATGCTATACGGCTTGCAAATCGCATAGCAAGTTGCACCTTATTCTTCGCAATTACAGCGGTCATATCGAGGTGGTTCTGATTTCTAAAGTAGTGCATGCACTACTTTTGGTGTGATTTGCATAGACATCTGTGTCAGATGTCTTGCAAATCGCACCTCAAATCAGCATGTCGGGATCAGTGTGACTGGGTGTTACTTTCCTTTCAGAATTAACATTTTCTGTGGGGCACTATACTACAAAATACTCCCACAAATGCGGGCCATTGATTGCAAACAAGATTTGTTAATGTGCACGCACAAAAAAAGTATTTTTCCTAACAAATTCAAGACCATGTTGCAAAATTGAATACACCCCAATGAAAGTCTTAGAAGCAAAACTATATTTTAGACAACAAAATCCTAATTAACAAGAATTCAACTATAGGTGAGTCTAATTATTCATTAAACAGGTGTCCAGCAGTTGATTATAAAAGGACATTATTTAACAAAGAAAACCCCTTCCCATTTCATGCTGTCAGCAATGGCACCACATGGAAAAGAAATGTCACAAGGCCTGAGAAAGAAAATAATTTCTGTACACAAGAAAGGTAAAGGTTACAAGAAGATCAGAAAAGTTTTTTATTCAAAAAAAATTTAGAAAAAGTGATACAAAAATTTAACAAAGATGGAACTGCAACCATCTCACAGAGATGTGCAGGCTGTCCACAGACGTTAACACCTCGGCAGGGGCATCTTCTGATGAGAAGGGTTGAAGAAAATTGCCATGCAAGTTCACTACAGTTATTTAAAGACGTAGAAAGCCAAACTGGGGTGATTCTTTCCCGTGTCGCAATACGGCATACACTGCAGAGGAATGGCATGTATGGGTGTCGTCCACCAAGGAAGCCTCTCCTAAAGCCCAAGCACAAAAAAGCCTGCCTAGAATTTGCCAGGGCCCATGCTTAAAAAGAAAAAGACTACTGGTACTCTCGAGTGATGAGAGCAAGATAAATGTTTTTGGAATTGATGGCTTCAAAACTGTATGGCATCGCAAAAGTGAGGAGTACAAAGAAAAATGCATGGTGCCTACAGTGAAACATGGTGCTGGTCGTGCCCTTTTGTGGGGCTGCATGAGTGTTGATAGTGTCAGGGAGGCACATTTCATTGATGGTATCATGAATTCAAAGATGTACTGCTCTATATTGAAAGAGAAGATGCTACGGCATCACTCTGTGCCCTTGGTTGTTGTGCACTTTTCCAACATGACTATGATCCAAAACATACATCTAAGGCTACTGTTTAATTTCTGAAGAAGAACAGTGGCCAAGTATGCCTCCTGATCTGAATCCAATCAATCACCTATGGAGAATTGTGAAGAGACGAGTTAGTTGAGCATCACTCTCCACCCAGCATCAAAGCTCTAAAAGAAGTTTTTCTTGAAGAATGGAAAAAGATAAATGTTCCAATATGTCACCAACTTGTTCATTCCATGGCTAGAAGACTTGGTGCTGTCCTTACAAATCATGGAGGTCATACAAAATTCTAGATGTACTAATTTTTGTTGTGGGGTGTATTCATTTTTGCATCAAGTAACTTGAGCAAAACTGAAGGTTTGTAATCTAAGTTATAATAATTTTACTTTCATGTAATGAGCTAAACAAATGTTCTATAAAAACTCAGTTTTGTCAAAATTTTGGAAATTGTTCTTGTGTTTAATGAAATATTGATTAAAACCTTACTTTTCAAAAGGGGTGTACTCATTTATGCTGAGCACTGTATATGTGTTCAGTCAGCCTTTCTCCTAGCAGCAGGCTCTAACATACAAGAGAGAGAGTGAAAGAGAGTGACAGAAAGTCCTTGAGGCTCCATCAGCTTATATAAACTATTGCAAAAAAGTATTGAGACACCCCTCCAAATCATTGGGTTCAGGTGTTCCAATCACCTCCATGGCCACAGATGTATAAACTCAAGCACCTAAGCATGCAGACTGCTTCTACAAACATTTGTGAAAGAATGGGTCGCTCTTGGGAGCTCAGTGAATTCAAGTGTAGTACCATAATAGGTTGCCATCTGTGCAATAAGTCCATCCATGAAATTTCCTTTCTACTAAATATTCCATGGTCAATTGTTAGTGGTATTGTTGTTACAATACCACTAACAATTGACCATGGAATATTTAGTAGAAAGGAAATGTGAAAGTGAAAGCAACTGGGAATAGCAACACAGCCACAAAATGGTAGGCCACGTAAAATGATAGAGCTGGGTCAGCACAGTACGCAGAAGTCGCCAACTGTATGCAGAGTCAATAGCTAAAGACTTGATGTGACCTTCAGATTAGCACAACAACAGTACGTAGAGAGCTTCATGGAATGGGTTTCCATGGCAGAGCAGCTGCATCTATTACATCACCAAGTGCAATGCAAAGCGTCAGATGCAGTGGTGTAAAGCATGCCACTGGACTCTAGAGCAGTGGAGAAGTGTTCTGTGGAGTGACGAATCACGCTTCTCTGTCTGGCAATCCAATGAATGTGTCTGGGTTTGGCGGTTGCCAGGAGAACGGTACTTGCCTGACTGCATTGTGCTAAGTGTAAAGTTTGGTGGAGGGGGGATTATGGTGTGGGGTGTTTCATAGGGGTTGGGCTTGGTCCCTTAGTTCCAGTGAAGGGAACTCTCAAGGCGTCAGCATACCAAGACATTTTGGACAATTTTATGCTCCCAACTTTATGGGAACAGTTTGGGGATGACCCCTTCCTGTTCCAAGGTGACTGCGCACCAGTGCACAAAGCAAGTTCCATAAACACAGGGGTGAGTGGGTTTGGGGTGGAGGAACTTGACTGTCTTGCACCTCAACCTGATAGAACACCTGTGGAATGAATTAGAGTGGAGACAGCGAGCCCAGCCTTCTCATCCGACCTCACAAATGCACTCCTGTAAGAATGGTCAAACATTCCCATAGATACACTCCTAAACTTTGTGGACAGCCTTTCCAGAAGAGTTGAAGCTGTTATAGCTGCAAAGGGTGGGCCAACTCAAAATTGAACCCTACGAACTAAGACTGAGATGCCATTAAAGTTTATGTGCGTGTAATGGCAGGCGTCCCAATACTTTTGGCAATATAGTGCATTGTATATGTAGCATATGTTAGTATATTCTCATTTAGCACTGTTACAGTCATTCAGTGGTTAAGAATTTGATGCTGTGTATTTGTTGGAATTCTCTCATAACAGAGTTCTGTTCCTCAGCTTTTTTTCTTAGGCATTCGTATTCCTCCCACACAGCCATTTTTTTGCTATACACAGAGATCTGGCTGTGAGCTGCCTCTTTACACAGCTCTCACTTGGACGTTGTTCAGCTGCACTTCTGACAACACAGAAGATCACTAAGAAATGTGCAGCTCTTTTTAAATGCCTCTGTGAATCACTTAAGAAAATTATAGCTTGGCTCTACTGAATTGTATTTTTTCTTTTTTTCAGTCGAAATCAGCTCTCATCGTTGCCAGCCTGCATATGTGGTCTTCCTCTTAAAGTCTTAATTGCAAGTAATAATAAGATTGGGTTTCTGCCAGAGGAAATAGGTCAACTGCAGCAGTTAATGGAGCTGGTATGTCACTAAATTTAATATTTTCTATTTCTCACTTTCATATTTAGGGGTGTTGTATCCCCAGGCTAATGTGTGGGATGTAAGGTAAGCCAAATTTATCAGTCCCTCTGGAGAGAACTTGAACTTTAGCTAATGAATTGAAAATTGGTACCTTCTTTTGAAAGAAAACAGAAGTCTGGAAGGGAATTTAGATGAGAGACCTTTTGGAAAATCACTTAGAAAGAGATTTATGGGTAATGAAAGGCTGATGTGACGGCACAGGGATTTGTTTGTGGGATATTATTATAATGATCAAGGCCCTAAAGGAGAATTGGCAAAATTGGAACAGTGGCACCTTGCAATCATGTAGGAGGCTACCAGCAGTGCCAGGTGCACTTGGACAGTCTTGGTGATAACATGGTGTTCACCATTATTATTATTTTTATTATTATTATACAGTATTTATAAAGCGCCAATAGTTCGCTCAGCGCTGTACATTACAAAGGGGGACAGAACATGTGACAGAACAATACCAATACAATGCAAAACATGAGGGGATCGAGGGCCCTGCTCTTTCGAACCATGACAAGACTTCTAATTTAATAAGTCATAGCAACCACTTTTGTTGTGGTAAACTTTAGCATACTGTTGGTATACAGTATATTTTATAAAGTAAAGTACTCTGGACACACACACACACACTTAAAACAGGCATCATAATAGGGATGAGTAAGAAAGTATCAAGCTGCATGTAGAATAGCTGCATTCTACAACCCCCAAAATGTCTGTTATTGTAAACTAGAGATGAATAGCACAGAACTTAATATGTTCAGAGTGGGGACACATTTCACTTCTCCCAAAGATGGACTAGTCAGGATAAGGCAGTTTACACAAGCTGCCAACAAGCATGCAGGAACTGCTGGGATTTCGTATTAGAAAGCCACTAATGCTCTGAAGACTGAATACCATGGTTGAAAAGAATGATAACTTTTATCTGTAAAACAACTTTTATACAAAAAAGAAATATAAAGCATCAGTTCAAAACTTATAAAAATAGGTGGATTAATTAGGATATGGCTGCAATTTTTCTTGATCTACCTGACCTTGGCTTGGTTTTCCACTTCTTAATAGGTAATTTAACCGTACTGATTGGCATATTCAAGGCTTTGGACATCTTTATATGTCCTTTTCCATCTTTCTAAAGTTCCATGACCTTTTTACGCAGGACTTTCGACAGTTCTTTTCTGATCCCCATGGCTCAGTATCTAGCCTAGTCAGTGCTTCCACGTAAGAGCTAACAAATTCATTGACTATTTATACACTGACACTAATTGCAATTTAAAAAGCCACAGATGTGGGACATTAACCTCTAATTGGCATTTTAACCCGTGTGTGTCACCTTGTGTGTCTGTACCAAGGCCAAACATTCCAGGGTATGTAAACTTTTGATCATGGCCATTTGGGTGATTTCTGTTATCATTATGAGTTAAAAGGGAGCCAAACAACTATTTGATAATAAATGGCTTCATATGATCATCATCCTTCAATAAAAGAGCATTTTTTGACATGATCAGTCATATTTTCAATATCAATGCCAAAATTTCACAATTTCTGCCAGGGTATGTATACTTTTGAGCACAACTGTACTAGCATCAGCAGATCCCGATGAAGTCCTGTGGGTGTAACACGTGAACGGGGCTTGGAGCAAAGACATCATCACCCTAGGAAGTTTGGTTTTGCAATTCTTAAATACAGCAAATCACAATTCTTTTTGCTATAATAAGGCCACTACAAGATGTATTTCAATTGGTTGGTTATTGCACTTAAGAATTAGCATTTTTGAAGCTGAACTGTTTACAAACAGCTAAATACACTTTTGTAAAATATATATATGTACTGTACAGTATATTGTCGTACCTACCAAAATTTCTGCAATTCTGTGCAACATCACTGTTAGACAGCATAGCCTACAGGAAGTCAGTGACTTAACTTTTCTGCACTGCAGTTAAGCAACATTGGGTGATCATCAGTCCTTTTCAGCATGCTGATTGGATAGTGAGGTCTGAAGACCTGTGCTCAAGCCTCTTGTAAGCATGTTCAGGAATGGAGGCTCTAACTGGCTTAGACTTTGACTCTCCGACTCTCAGAATAAGTCAGGCCTCATTCACATGGCCGTAAAAAAAAGACAAAAAAAAAAAGTAGTTACCACCATTTATATTTACAGATCTGAACGCAACATAATTGATTTCAATGGAAACATTCACACCGGTGTGTAAAAATTCACTGCGTTCAGATCCATAACCAAAAATCTGCATCTGAGGGCATACATATACACGTATTTCATTGAGAAAAATTATACTTTTTACGCATTTTAAAACAAATCCGTTTACTGATCATTTATGCAGGAACTTTTGTTCCTTGCCTAATGATAAGTACATTTTTTATGGCCATGTGAATATTTATGTTTATGAGTTAAAAAAAAAATTCAGGTTTTGCCTAGAGTTGGATTCAATGATTTTTAATGCATAGATATAACAGAAATACTTGGTGTTATGTGAATATCTAGTTCAGCTTTAAAAATACTCTTTATTAAATAAGGTTGAATGACCTCTGTACCCTGGGAAAGCATTACAGTTAGCTATAGTGACAAGATAAAGAATTGCAATATGGTGTGATTGGGGGGGAGAAGAGACTCTTGTTATTTTGGGGACAAAGTAATATTATTTCCCCAGGCGCTGATAATAACAGTAATACCATAGAAAATATTAGGCCATTTTTTATTTTCGCTTGGGAGAGCCAGAGGCATAATCAGCACATACTTAGGTTAAATCATACTATAGGCAGCATATGGTCAGAGTCCTATATAGCAGATGTGTCCTCTAATAGCCTCAACACGCATCTGTGATTATAGAACCTTTCAAATGTACTTCTGATTGTATATTATATTATGTATATTATGTTACTTAGCTGTAGTTTTTGCAAATGGTCATTAGTAGTTGAACAGTCAAGCATATTGTATTACACTATGACAGTTTTCTGATAAAGCAAAGAAGAAACTTCAGAACTTGGCTGTGCTATATCACATCTCCTATAGCATGTAATGTAAAGCTACAAAGATAATTAACCTTAAAATGAATCACAAATACAACAGGCAATGATTGAACTTCTAGTTATATGTTTAAAAAACATTCTGTACATAATGAAATGCTTCCTATGTTTATATACAAACACACCACATACATTTTTTTTGTCAGCCTGACATCCCTCTGGTACAGGGATTTGATGTATAAAAACACTTCTGTATGGTTAATCTGCACTAAAATTGGCAATCCTTTCCACCATTGGATAGTATTTAAAGTGTCATTAAACCCACATCATAAAAAACTATCAATAAATGCTGTATTACATGCTGTTATATTTACTCAGTCACTATGGGATTAGTTTTCTCTTTTCTGCAAAAAACTTGGCTGATCCTGCTTTTCTCCATTTCCCCTTCTGTCCACGTCCCCAATGCAGTTGGGGATTTGCAGTTGATTTTGCAGAACAGTGTTGGTAGCTACTGCACATGCTCAGCTTTCAGTGAGTTTCTATGCTGAGCATTTCCTCTCTATCATGTCTGAGCTTCCCATGTAATTATAGAGTCACACATGTGGGCATATACACAGTGGTAAATGACAGCCCACTCTCTCCTTCCCTCCTCCTCCATGCACACTAACCAGCTAAACACAGTAGGGGTGGAATATTACATCTTAATTTATGGAGGCTTCACCTCCCTGTTCTAAGACACAGGCTGGAGGGGCCTGACACAGCCTGTGACTGGCAGAATTCCACCCACACCATGTTATTGTCACAAAATGACAAACCTTTAGATTCAAAAATAAATTTGTCTGATAAATTAAAACTGTTTATTGATATTAATTATTTATTTTTGCTATGGATCCCAACGACTGTTTTTTTTAATTTTGAATATGTGACCAGCAGTAGAGGACTAGAAGCTTCCTCTGCTTTTGTT